TAAAGTGGATCCATTCAGGGCTAAAAAAAAAAAAATATATATATATATATATATATATAATAGAGTGCCACAAAAGTGCAATACATATCCTTTGGTTTTGTACATATCAATTTAAATAATTTTCCATAACTTTGCATACAGTAACAATGACTTTAATTATGAACCAGTTGTAAAATAACCTTTTTTTTTCTTTTCTAGCCATGAATGGATCCACTTTAAAGTATTACTACTCAAAGGTGTTTTTGTGTGTGTGTGTGTATCTGCATTAGTACTTTGTTATTTTCCCATCACTAAAGGCCAATCAGAATTTGGAGCCATGCTGTCGTTCAAGAAATCTAACGGAATGAATTAGTTCTGTATATGAGAGTTTCTTCAACCATTTAGGAGACCTAAATCTTTTCCATAACACTTAGGTATTCAGTACAACAACAAACTAACTGAAAGAGGGATCTCCTTGTTTAAAGTTTGATTGCAAACACTGTAGACCATAACTCACTATTTTTCAGATAGGGTGCCTCTTAGATATAAAACTAATTTGTTGGGAAAGATATTTTACAAATTATGCCATTAGATTTTCTCTGATATTATATGTGCAGTTCAGTTACAATATGGAATCACGTTTTTTTAACAAAAAAGATAAAATACATAGAAGTAAAAAAATAGCTAGTGTATAATATATACAGTCTAAATTTGCTTTTCACACTAGGCCTTGTGACTAAAAGATATGCTTCATTGCATGCTATTTTCACCTCTTGGAGATATAGCTAAGTCAAAGGTGACGATTAATTTCATTTAGCAGGGAAGTGGAATGTTATATTTTGAAACAACTAAATCTACTACATTACACATTATGCTATTCTGGTTCTAAGTACATATTAGTGCTTTAGTAAATCTGTTCTTTCAAAGCATACCTTCCACAAATAAGCCTATCTACTTCTTAAAACTCATACAACACAATATGGTAGTAGTAGGCGGAAGGAAGGTAAGCTTTTTCATGGTGGTATGTAAACATATCATTGAAATGTTACATAGATATAAAGGCTTAGGGAATAAAAATAGCAACAACAAATACTTGATAGATTTATCCTACTTGGGAGAAATATTTTGTAGCAGAGTATTTAGTATACTTAGAAGTTAGTTGAACAATTGGGCTTTAATGACCTTACAAAGTGAACATAAGTGAACATAAGTATTTTTTTCAATGCAAGATGAGGACGAACATTTTAAATTTCAACACATCTGACTAAAGTTAAGACTTAGTAAAATTTAAAATGTTGCCTTTGTCCAAGTATAGATTAAGGCAACAAACATATTTGGGTTATATAATTTGAAATTTTGCACTGAAATATCTTTGTATATATCCACATAAAATTCTGTAATGCCTTATAATTATATTTTAATATGCATTATACTAAGAAACTATTAAGAACAGCTGAGGCACTACAGTAAATCAAACCATAAATGAGGAAAATACTTTTAATGTCTTTTTCTAGAAATATTCAAATGGTCTTGATATAAAGCTAGAGGCCTTATTTATATTATCTTAATATTTTGGCTAAAATGTTAAGCTCCATAACATGAATTAATACAATTCAAATTTTATCAATATTTTGTGGTAGAAAAATGTTAATATTCTTCATGAGCTATGTAGTCCTTACATTTTTTCCCTTGGTGTAGGAACAACAGAGGAGTTTTTCCTCTGCTAACTATTCATATATGTAACTGTAACAAAAGTGTACTATATTATGCACACATTACAAATAATATAAGGGGAAGCTTTATTAACTTAATAGGGAACTGTTATTATTAAGGTTTAAAAATGAGAACAGGTGTGATTTTTCCAAAATATTTAAAAATCCAAAATTCAGGGGCAGTTGAGAAGTTGTGGATGGAACTAGAGGCCACTATGTTAAGTTACATAAGCCAGGAACAGAAAGACACCTAAAGTACAATTAAAAAAAATAAAAAAAAAGAAAGACAAACATTGCATGTTCTCAATTATGTGTGGGATCTAAAAATCAAAACAATTGAACGCATGAATATAGAGAGTAGAAGGATGGTTACCAGAGGCTGGGAAAAAGGATGTGTGAGGGGAACTGGGGATGCGTAATGTGTACAAAAACCATATAGATAGAAAGTATGAATAAGACCTAGTATCTGATAGCACAACAGGGTACTGTAGTCAATAATAGCTTAATTTTACATTTAAAAATAACTAGAAGAGTGTAACTGGATTACTTGTAACACAAATAATACTTGAGTGGATGGATACCTAATTCTCCATGATGTGATTATTTCACATTGCTTGCCTGTATTGAAATATCTCATGTATCCCATAAATATGTATACCTACTATATATCCACAAAAAATTTAAAAAGTAAGAAGTCAGCACTTTATTGGCTCACTTGATCCATGGATAGTGAACTGGGGTCATAACAACGTCCCTTATCATACTTAACAATTTTTAAAATTGTAATACAAAATGTAATGATATAAAGAGCTATTCTATTTAAATGTCTATTTAAATATATATACATTTCTTTTCCAATTTGTGATTAAGATCAATAGAAGTAGTAGTGATATATTTCCCTCTCATAAGTTTCACACTGCTTATCTCTGAAAACTTCAAAGTTGTCAGGTGAAGAGTGCCTATTTATCTAATTTCTATTCCAGTATATTTTCACTTTAGCTATGTCAAATAAAATGGAGACTGTGCAATGCCATGCAAAGTAATCTGTTTATGTGTCTAAATAAAATATGTGAAGTATTTACATGGTTTGTGTGAAAGTCCAAGTAGGAAATATGCAGAAGGATTTTTAGCTTAGCTGTATACTTTTGTCAGGAAATTATCATCATGTGAATAAGTTTATGTTGAAGCTAACAAGCATCACTCTCATTAAAAACAAAACAAAAGCAGAAAACTTCCTTATTTGGACTATTTTAACATAGTTCAACCTCCAGTTGAAGCAGGTTTCTTCTTTAAATTAGAATTTCTTTGCTTTAAAACTTAGTTTTCAAAGTTCCATAACTCATTTGTTCCATAAAGCATTCTTCCCAACCTTGTAATGGTGCTTTTGCTGTCTGTCTTCTTCTTAACAAAGACAGTACAAAAAGAACAAAATAAAGTCTTAAAAAAATTTCCATCTCACTACCCAATTTAGATCACCTTAACAAAAAGCCGTCATCCCACCTTTCCCATTATTGCAATCTACAAAGATGGCGTTTCTTTTGAAAATAATTATTTTGAAAGTAAATAATATGCTGTGAAAAGGTTTCCTTATGAGGCACATCTTCCCCACCACATGCCAAAACTCAATTTACTGGATTTCCATAGTACTTTATGTCCAGTTAAAAAAATGTAAAGTATTTCATGTACAACTTAGGATATATGAAATAGTACATAGAAAACATTTAAATGAAGGAAATAATAAACAAGTGTGTCTTTCTTAATAAAACACTTAACAATATTTAGTCCTGAAGAAGACATGCCTCTTTTTAGTTTACAAAAGAACACTGAAACTCATTTATGACAAAATTAGATAAGCAGGCAGTCTTGGTAATCTTAGATGGCCTGTCACAGACAATGAGATGTTGTTAAGTTCATAGCCTTTGTTTGGTTTCCCATCCTACCACATTAAAATAATTCTTTTTCAAATTGAAGTATATGTTCGAGAGATCCTTTATGTTAGGGAACAGTGTTTCCAATGTAATGCTTTGATTCTGTAGTTTGTTAGATAACACTGTTGAACACATATACAGGTATTGATCGACTTATGACCTATGCAACTTACGACCATTCGACTTTACGACCACAATCGCTAGCCACAACTGCTCCGCGTCTGGCAGCGCAAACGTTGCCCAGCTGGGCGTACGACAGTGCGGACCAGCTTCCGGCAGTACTACCATCTCCGCGTGCACCATTTCAACTGTACATATAGCCTACTCAACTTGTGACCAAATCGTGTTACGACCGGCCTGCCAGTCCCAATCGTGGTCGTAAGTTGCGCACTGGCTGTAATTCACATGTGCCAAGATCCAATAAGGCATACAAATTTCTTAAAATGGGAGAAAATATAGGCTTTTTGATCTAGTTCCCTAAAAGGATCTGATGAGACAGCCATGTTATGATGGGTGAGTGGGGTTGGAACCTAGGATAAGAGGGTTTTGGAATCAGATGGGAGGTGACTAGGACTTACATTATAGGTTAAATGAGGTAGTGTCATTATTGTCAATTGGTCTAGATTTTAAAATGGGACAGAGTTCCCTTTGGAGTAGTTACTTGGATAATGCTCAAAGAGAAAGTCATAATTGAAACAGGCAGGTGACACATTTTTAGTTTGGGGCATCTAGCGCTATACCCTTGAAGTTACAAATTAGTCCATTTCTTCTGCAGGATCTTTAGAAATCTAAAGACCCCCTGATAACAATATCCAGTTCTTATCCAGGATCCAAGCCTCTTAAGAGATTTTTCTCAATCAGTTCCAAATTTACAGGTTTTAATTCTTTTGGAAGGAAAGGGTGAAGCTGAACAAAATTGGGAGACTGGGAATGGTCTCAATCCAATTATATTCTAAGGTTCTAATCTAGTCCTGCAGCTTCTCTAAATGAAGCCTTATTAGTTAAAAAATAATCTTACTGTATAGAATTCCAAGCCTGGCCACCTTTTTCTTGGTTCTCACAAGGGGAAGTAGAAGAAGTTAGATGATTCTTTTGTTTCTCTGCCTTCATAGATGAGTCATTTCCCCACTGGAAGTACCCATGTTAAGAGTTGTGCTATATCCTTCAAAAATTGTTGCAAAAATGTCTGGGATTTGTTACAAATTAAACCAGTGGGGGAAGGAGGCATCAAAATAAGCTAACCAGGGGTAAGTGGATGAAGGGTTAAGTGAGGAAGAATACAAATGAAACAAGATTGGCTATAAAGTGATAATTGTTGAAGCTGGGTGATGGCTATGTAGAGGTTCATTATATTTTTCTACTTTTGCATATGGTTTTCTGCAATTAAAGGGATATATATCTTTAAGGGAAGTTCAAAGTTCAAATTAAACTTGTGGTTGTCCTGTAAGAGACATGAGGAGTTGAATTTAAGGGCCCCATCAGGGTAATTCCCAAATACTTTCTTCTCCATCATGGTATAAGCAATTTAAAAGTGACAATTGGATAAATCCATCTACACATGGTCACCCTGTTCTGGAAAAAATGATTTTGCAGTAATTCCTAATTTTTTCTTTGTCTTGTGAAGGTACTTGAACTTATAGATCTACATATTTAGGTGGAATCTGTTCTGGTATGTAGGAAAGCCTTATGCCAGGTAGATCTGTATTTTTGAAGACAATATTTTGTTTGTAAAATGGGCTAAATTCATATCTGTTCTGCCTGGGCTGCCATTTTCTAAGCCCAACATACAAGTGGAAGAAAATCCATACACTTTTCTCCAGCTCCACTGTAACCATGATAACTGGAATAACCTCTTACATGGGTGCATCACTCAGCTCCTTTACATTTCTTAGAGCCTCCAGAGTTATCTTCAAAACTTACAGCAGTACTCTTTGCCTTAAATTCTCCCAATGACTTCCCATTTCAAACTTTTCATAGGTCTCTTCTTTCTTATCTTTTTAATTGAGACGGAATTTCACTCTTGTTTCCCAGGCTGGAGTGCAATGGCACGGATCTTGGCTCACTGGAGCCATCTAGCAGTTCCCCTTGCTAACTATTGTCCAGCCAAAGCTTGTTGCATCTCAAATTGTTTGCATCTGCAAGTTTCTCTGCCTTTCTCTGCCGCAAGATCTTCCTATGACTGGCTCCTTCTTGCTACTCATGTTTCAGCTCAAATGCCATGTCCTCAGTAAAAATTCCCTCTGTGCACGCACCCACAACTATCTGTTTAAGCAAAGTAATTAACATGTGCAAGAATTACAGCAGGTGCTTTTGTCTACCACTTTATTACTCATACGGTGGCAACACATGGGAACTTAATAGAAATGCAGAATTGTAGGCCATACCCCAAATCTATTGAATCAGAATATGCATTTCAGCAAGTTCTCTAGGTGATCTCTACAGACTTTAAATTTGAGAAGCACTGGTCTAACATGTGAGGCTGATATTTTCTTTTTCTGCTAATGGTTATTAAATAATAATTAATAATCTAATTGACAGAGTCTTTAACAGTGCCATATATATAGAATTCTATGAAATGCTCACTGGTTTGAACATAGAAAGTTATTTTTATGCTCATTTGCAGAAATCTCCCAAATACACACATCAATACTTTTCCTTTTGAATGTATACTAGGAACATAATTAGATGTATTCATTTCTCAGGATTGTGTCATTTAAGTAAGTTAAAAAGTTTTAGTTTTCTCTATAATATGAAATCTAAGCTCTTAAAATGAACACTTTTATTTATAGTATTTCATTATGATTTTGGCAAATAACATACATACTTGAGGAATATGCAGTACATAGTCATCATAACTATTTAAATTCCTAGCTCATGTTGTTAATGAATAAAATTCAACAAGACATTTAAAAAAGGACCCATCTGCCTAAGATAAATCTGAAGTGAAAAGTCTTTTAATAAAAAATATTGGAACTTTAAATAAACTCAT